ATGAGAGTGGAGCAAGCTACTTACAGCAGTTGAATGGCACATCATCATAATCATTATACACGTTAGCTCAGCTACTGTGCTGCAATACATAGAAAAAAGGAGAAAATATGCAACAGGTGCAAGCCAGCTGAGCTACCGGTAACGGATGGGCATCGTTCCGGTAAGCTACCAACCGGCTACTATGCAGCCAAAAAAGTAATTTAATATGCAAAATTATAACATGTCAAATAATAAGATCGTGGTTGGAGGGGGAGGCTAAGAGGGATGGGGTGGGACAAAGAAACTCACAGCACGAACGCCACTGAGGTCGGCTCCTTGCCATATCAACAAGTGTATCCAGCCAAACGTGTTCATCGTCTTTCGGACCCCAACCAGGGAGCCGAGACGCTCCAACCGAAGTGAGGGCCTTCATTCCTCTCAACCAACTCATCGCTTGGCCACCTCGCATCTTCTTCCATCCACACCCCCGGCGCGCAAACAATGCACGTCGCGGGAGTCGGTGTGCTGACATGCGTAACACGTGGCCGAGCCATCGCAGCCTTGTGTGTGAAATAACGGTGCTGAGAGGTTCACTTCCTTTTCCTGTGCCTTAACCAAGGAGTCGAACACGCTTGTTGCTCACGCGGTGTTCCCACCAGATGTGAGCTAAATTGCGAAGGCACCGGTGGTCGAATGTAACTAACCTCCTTAGGTCCGTTGATCTAAGGGGCCAGGTTTCACAACCGTACAGTAGGGTCGAACGTACCGCTGCATTGTACACTCTACCCTTCAGGGCGACAGTGATGTCGCGCCGGCGCCATAAGTGGCAAAGATTAGCAAAAGCGCCTCGAGCTTTTGCTATACTGTTCGTGATCTCATCTTCAATCCCACGGGCTCTGATACAACTTCTCAGGTAGTTGAATTTCTGAACGACTTCTACCTGAGCCTCACCAAGGGTCAGCGAAGGAGGCGGTCCAGGCCAATCTTGGAGAAACGCTTTGCACTTCGATGGTGCGAAGCAAAGGCCGAAGTGACGGACAGCCAATGCTAATCTGTCCAGTGCCACTTGGCACGTTTGTGAGCTGTCACAGATTAGGGCAATATCATCAGCATACTCTAAGTCAAAAAGTCGTTCTCCTGGGAGTAGCTCCGCACCTTCTGAGTCGTGTCCTGTGAACGCGATTTCTATGACTACATCAGTAGCGAAGTTGAAGATGAAAGGTGACAGCGGGCATCCTTGTCTCACACCGCTGGAGATATTAAAGGGCGACGACAGCTTGTCGTAAACCCTCACTCTGCCCGAGCTACGCGCGTATAATGCTCGGATAATATTTAGATATTTCTCAGGGACATCTTTCCTGAGTAGACAGTCCCAAAGTGCACTTTTATCTACCGAATCGAATGCACTTTTGATGTCGAAGAACATGACAACGGTGGGCCGCCAATATATGTGACGGTGCTCCAACGACTGACGCAAAGTGAAGATGTGGTCAACGCAGCCACGACCTCGAAGAAAGCCGGCTCGTTCTTCACGAATATGGCTTTCATGAGTGCCAGTCAGTCTGTGAAGGATGACAGAGGCAAGCAATTTGGGGGCGATGGAGATCAGACTGATTCCTCTATGGCTGCCGCATTCTGATCGTGAGCCTCCCTTGAAAATTGGGACTATGACGGAGCGGCTAACGTCGGTTGGGACAATTTCCTGCTCCCACAGTCTCACTAGTAACTCGTATAAATCACCCACAAGAGCAGGTTCCCCGAATTTGAAGAGGGCTGGATGAAGATCATCTGGTTCCGCGGCTTTATTTAACTCCAACAGTGCGATCTCACGTTCGACTTCTGAGCGAGAGGGTGGATCCAAAGGGACAGCCCAGGGAGCGGGGCGATCAGTGGCCGGCGAGAAATCTAACAATTCCGACCGATTAAATTGCCATTCAAAGTGCTCAAGCCAACGCATCAAGCGTTTTGACAAGTTGTGGATAGGTTGTCCACACGCGTCACGTGTAGTTTCATTAACACCAGGTCTCCTGCTGCCCGTTTCCAGAATCAGCCGGAATAACTTACGATGGTTACCAAGGACAGCGATTAGTTTCATCTCTGATGCACGATGAGACCACTAGGATTCGCGGTCTCTCTTCAGACTAGCACGGAGTTTTGCCCGGAACTCTTTGCGAGTTTCGTTGTGTTCGCTTCCAGACGGAATATGCCGGCGAGCATTGATAAGTTCCAGAGACTGCGAAGAGACCTAATATCCATGTTGGCGATTAGACTTACCACATGAGGATTTTCCTGCTGCTATTAAGTTGAATGGCTCCCTTTAGGTCATCTAGTAACATAGAATAAGCCTGATATGCGCCAACCTAGCGGATAAACAAGAAGCATTGCCGGCGCCAGATAGATCCACCGGTGATGTCGTGTACTTGCGTCGTACATTCTTCTTCCGCCCGATTTATTGTTTAAGTGCATAATAAATCTGGCTAGTATTCTGTGTTACGAACATATGTAAACAGAGGAACACTTCAAATCTCCATACTTCCCATTGCCTTACTGCATCGGTGCTTTCCAGTTTTCCCCTATCTTTCCGCCCGCAACCGTTAAGCCAACACTGCAATTCAGCACCTGAGGCATATCAAAGTGTGAGAAAGCCAGGTAACAAGAACTAAGACAGGATGCTCGCCTATTTCCAGCCGGACGACGCCGGTTGATGACAGGCTGATCGGACGGCCACACATGCGCATATTCCCACACACTCACACTCTACCAAGTTGACGAGCACCGTCGAAACACCTGAGGTCCCGTATGGGTTTCTCAATAGGAGGTATTTGTGGTAGAACCACAAGAACACATCCAATGTACTGCAGTCGATCACGGCTGATACAAAATTAACTCGCTACAGCCGCGCTTGATCCCATGGAAACCGTTGTCAAAGTTGTAGTCCTATTATTAGACGTACCGGTGACTAATGTGTGTGACAACCTAGCCCTTGGTTGGTTGCATGTTAGCAAGGATAGCTGTTACGTTAGCGACCATTAGCAGGAAGGGTCGGATATTATGTTTTCCATTGTATGTATTTTGATTTCCTCATATTCAAGGGTACGCTGTAAAGTTTCGTGTTCGGTATATTTATAAGAGATTTAGTCTTAGGTAAGGAAGAATAAAAATGAACAAACTAAATCTTCGTTGTAAGATCAGTTAGAGTCAGCCAATCGCTGTCTTTTGGTCATAGAACTTTCGTTGTGGTTTGTGGACTTTGGATTTCTAAATCGCATAGGAACTCGCTAGGCGAGTTCGGGGTTCATAGTGGCTTCAAGTCAGTCATTAGTGACAGTTAACTGCATATTATCGGATTCAAAACCATCATGCCTTAAAGGATTGGCCCTTACTTCGCTAACAGGTACGGTACTCTGACGTCAGTATGGAAACTTTGAGAACAAGTATTTGGGGCAGTTGACATGTTTCGACGGCATTCGCTGCAAGAACAAATATACAACCGACAAAGTTGCCGGTAGGTAAGATGTGCCAAGCAAATCCCCCTATTAACCTATAATTGCACTTTGCTTTAAAACGGCATGGGGACAAGGCACGGTTTGCCCCAAAACACATATCATCCATAGGAACAAGCTGACTTTCTATTAGGAAAGTTAAGGACTATGACCCCATCTACTCTGTTTGTTTACCGGAGCAAACCGGCTTTAGGCTAGTTATGGCCATCGAACGGTAAGTTAACCCTTGAATGAAGGCAATCGACAGGCCTACATAAGCTTATGGATGCGTTCAACAGAAAGGCGTGTGGTGAACCTACTTGATTGTTAATGATGTACCAGTCACGACGGACGGTAGAAAGCTGCAAACTTGTACAAGTCAAAATTTCTATGTCTTCTACTACTTATAAAAACGCGATAGCTTGAGATATTTCAATTTTTGTCTTTCTATTTAGCCTGGATAAGTTAAACAGAAAGTCATCGATTACAGGTAAAACCACAATGGTTACCGTATTGGCGTTTCGGACGAACAGCGGAGCCTCTCACCTTTTACAACTTCTTTGAGAACAAACTATAGGCAATAGCGTCCGTTGAACACATCTCTGCAGTGGACTGAACAGGATAGTGTATCAATTGTCAATTTAAGTCAGCTGTTGACCTTCGCAGAAGGCACAAGTCCTTATGTTCATCAAAGTGGGTTTGCGGTATAGCCCATGTTTGTTGATCGACAATCCAAACAGCACACGGGGGCCTCGTACAAGCGGGTTTGTCCGGATTCCGCATGAGCAAAGAACATCTAAGAGTTGGTCGTCACTGAAATCACACCATGATGACCTGGATATGCCCCCGTTAGACTGTGTAAACTATCCTAAAATATTGGAAAATTATAGTTTCCTTATGTCTCAGGGAAACAGGTGGTTTGTTTGTTGCTCAACGTTTGTTTGAGTCACACATATGCATCCACTGCTAACCCTCGGACGTGACCCGCCATCATCGCACAGTACCCACCAACATCTCTAGCTAGCTCTCTTCTGGTGCCTCATACTTAGCCCTAGCTAGTACAGCGACCTTTCGACAGACACACAGCGGGTGCTTCGAAACTCGAAACTCAATCTCTTTCCAGCTTATTTTTGTGTTCTGCCGCTCGTCTCCGGTCAGCCATTTAGCTGTGTATTTGATATAGAACGCCCGATCGACGCGCTACGGCACAGTGCATGTACTCAGTGCACTGGTCTCTGAGCCAAAAGCCAAGCACTTCTCGCAAGAGACATAGCAACTGTTGTCAAGGTCAAGTGGATGCATCGAACGGAAACGTGTAGAAGTTGGCTCGGACTTCGCTTCGTATACCTACTTGCGCTGTCAGGTGGTTCTGATGCGCAAGCAACCAGTACAGTTCATCACTTGGGACTGCCCATCTGTTAATCCTCAGATGACAGTGACTATGGATGCTTATTATTCGTAGGTGACGAGAGGTAGAGGACCTAGTAAGCGGAGAGGGACGCAACCACATACCCAAAGGGGAATAACAAAACACGGTGATTATTGAGATGAAACAATGAATTGATGACCGACATATATACACACAATTGCAAGTATCGGATTAACATGTGAAAGAGATGACTGCAAACACCAATGTGACCGAGACTCACGCCATACTACACCTTGGGTTTTTCACTCTTTTTCGGTAATAACACCGCCTGAATGTTGGGTAAAACGCCACCCTGGGCGATGGTGACCCCGCCGAGGAGCTTGTTCAGCTCTTCATCGTTCCGAATTGCTAACTGAAGGTGACGCGGAATGATGCGTGTCTTTTTGTTGTCCCTCGCTGCGTTCCCAGCCAATTCTAACACTTCGGCGGCCAGGTATTCCAGCACCGCGGCCAGATAAACAGGTGCACCGGCGCCTACACGTTCAGCATAATTCCCCTTGCGCAGCAGACGATGAACACGACCTACCGGAAACTGTAGCCCTGCTCGGGCTGAGCGCGTCTTCGCCTTCGCACGAGACTTTCCACCTTTACCACGTCCGCTCATGGGTGTGAAGCTCGATTACGTACAATACTCACAGTACGACAGGAAAGATAGCTGCGATTAGCCATCTGATCGGCAGATTTCACGGGCCAATAAGCATACTCGACAAAGCATACGATCGATCTACATTTTTCTGCTATTGGTCGGAGATAGCTATGGCAATGATCGCTAAGCAAGACTGCAGCACACGATCGATACGAACTGTCTCGTTCATGCGTCCTAGCGCGCATCGTCACGCGGCGCTCCGAGGCGCGTGTGTACTACCACACTGGATTTAGCGAATCGCGAGACCTAAGCCGCAAGGTCAACAAAATTTCACGCAGCAATCGCAATAAGTTCGACCCAACGTTTGGTTAGTCGCAGTAGATGTGGTTGTAATCAATCAGGTGATTTGCATGGTTGTCTCACCTTAGTATCTGCCGCTTATGCTGAGGTTGATGTTGCATTCATGATGCTTCTTCAGCACAGTTGGGCCAAACCAACTTACACTTAAACTAGGTCTTTTTAATCTGGATAAAAGTCATTCCATTGTTTGGTTTTTCCAATTCTGTTATTCCGCTGCATATTCGGTGTCAATTTTGCGTGTTTGCTTTCTGTTAAATTCTGTTGATTGTTTGATATCCCCGGTGTGGCTGAGGTTGATGTGCATGTTGACAATGTGCCTACCTGTATAACACCCTCCACCTCGATTACTGGGTCCTGGAGACTGAATCGTCGCTGGGGGGTGGGGACGAGGTGCACGGTCATCGTGGCCGTGCTAGGCACGGAGACTGGTTCCGTGCACTCAGTGTGGAGCGGACTACGGTCAAGCCACCGCCTTGTGTGCCATTGATTCTCCAAATACAGCCTGCTTGTGTTTGCCGGCTCCGTTGATGAAACGTGGCTCCCATCCACATGCCTCCCAGTCTTATTCCTTCGGGTTTACACTGGATATGGGGTGTGTGGGTGGTGCAGCGCAAGCCACCCATAGTCCCTCTGTAACTGCAGGCGTCCTATGGCTGGTCACAGTGACAGGCAAATCCGAAACCGGATTCCGCCAACCATATAGGTATGAGATGTGCCCTATGCTGAGGATGATGTTGCGCTCATGATGCTTCTTCACCGCAGTTGGGCTAAACCAACTTACACTTAAACTAAGTCTTTTAAGCTGGGTAAATTTCATTCCATTTTATTTGGTTTGTTCTGCCTACCTGAATAATCTTCCATTAACTGGCCACTTTGCTTACGCGAATTGCGCTTGTCTTCGTTAAATTTATTGCGTTTGTATCATATTTCGAGTAAGTTGTGGACATTTCGTACTTATCGCGGATTCATTGCTAACCAACTTACTACATATGCTGATTTAGGTAAGAGTTATGTCTGCTTAGCCGTATTCTGTAACAGATATATTTTATTTGAGAATGTCATTTCAAGTGACTGGCTGTTGTTTGACATCCCCGATGTGGCTGCGCTTGATGTGCATGTTGATAAGGTGCCTATTTCTCTAACGCCCTCCACCACGATTACTAGGTCCGGGAGACTGTACATTGTTGCTGTGGGGCGGGTGGTGCACAGTCCCTGTGGCTGTGCTAGGCTCTAAGAGTGCTACCATGCACCAGGTGTGGAGCGGATTACGGTCCAGCCACCGCATTATGGGCACTTGATTCCCCAAATACGGCGTGCTTGTGTTTGCCTGTGAAGAAGTGTGGGCCGGCTCCGTTGATGAAACTTGGCTCCCATCCACCTGCCTCCCGGTCTTATTCCTTCGGTGTTTACACTGGATATGTGTGTGTTTGGAGGTGTGGATGGTACAGCGCAAGCCACCCATGGTCCCTCTGAAGACGCAGGCGTCCTGTGTCTGTCACAGTGGAGTCCACAGTGATTGGCAATTCCGAAACTGGATGCTGCCAACCATTGTCATACTATCTGACCCACAGGCCTTTCCTCTACCTGATCGCGTCACTGAGCCTTGGGGCCTGCTTCTGCGGTGCGGTTCGGCCAGGATGCGGTAGGATAAACTCAGGAATCCAGCTTTGCATCCTGGCAGTTGGTCTCAATAGTTTGGCTGCAACTCGGAGTCTATGGGGTAATTTAACCAAAATGTTTGCCTGAATTTACCTCGGATAAGGAGAAAATTAACTAAACGGTCATCGTGTTCATCATTTTGTCTGCGATCAACAATGTCCACTGATACAATTTATTGGTCCGCGGTTACACCAGTGATCGTTGCTTCTTTTTAATCTCAGCTCTTGGATTGTGTGTACCATCGTGACTGTTTGGCCCCGTTAAACCGTCCGGTTGGACGAGCCCCTAAAACCCACGTCGGGACTCCACTGCACCTGCGATTCCAGTAACTTTAGCTGTATCGTTGAACAATAATAAGACGAACACTGCGAGATAGAATTATTTCGTGTTATCTGATCATTTGCAAACTAACAGTAGCGGCTCATGTGAAGTAAACACGGTCGTTTTGAATTTAGTGAGTAAAGAAAGCGCAAAGACAAAATATCACGTGATTGAGCTGGGGCGAAGGTCATGCACGCCAAGAAAACATTATTATTGTCAATTGCTTCCGTACACAGATAGTGGGACCATGCCGATTAAGGGTCACGGCCTCGAGAAACTTCAGCACCCTGGAGTTTTCGTTTCGGTGTGCAACCATAAACGTCGAGTCAGGGTCAACTTGATGACCCATACCGATTGGGCGTCTAGCGCTGGATGACTCCGGCAGTTTGATTACTGCTCCTTGTCCTGCTGCTTGTTGCGTTGTCATCTTAGAGATCCGTTTTGGAATATGCTCTTCAAGCCACTTACTCAGACAACGATCTGTTTTGCCACTGTAAGCGCTTCCGCAGCTACAGTCGAATTGATAAATGGGATGGACAGGTTTGACTGGAGGCATCGGCAGTTTTCTGGTCGCCCAAATGGGACGGTTTAGTAGCGTTGAATGTACAGCGAATAGCTGTGTGGACCCGTCATTCAAGTTGCGCCGTCACGATATTACCTTTAAAGGGCAACTGTAAGTAGGCGGACACGCATATGCTATGTGCGTCGTACATGTGTCACGTGTAGTACAGAACAGCAGTGCAAAATTCTCCATTAAGACTGTAGGAAAAAGTCAAGGAAACTTCGCAGCAGATCCCATCATGAATTTATCACATCACATCCGAGAGTTTACCATAAACCAGGGCATCGCTCCACTACAGCATGATATATGATGATGCCTAACCTTCAAGGACACCACAACAACACACACCGGAGGGTCTGTGTGAAACGTTAAATCAGTCAAGAAGTAAACGATTTTATGGCCCAACTAGCGAAATTGAACCTGGCTGCAGGATCAGTGTTAGAAAATCAAGTGGCCACACACCGCTTCCACAGCTCTTTTCGAATAAAAATTGGCAGCACACTAACATAAATGATATCGCAGCCAACAACAGAAATATGGAAAGTTCCATGACCTTACTTACTCAACAAAATAACATCCCTCACCAACTCCCCAAGCTACTAGCCTATGCCCCACCGCCATTTGCTCCCATGGAACTGCCTCAAAATCCTTCTTTAGGACACCATATCCACCAACATTGCCGACCACTGTTGGGATTTCCATCAATAAATCGGATGATCCTTCAGAGACTTTCAAATCACGAATGTCGCATTGCGGCACGCCACCTGTGACAATGCTGGCAAACAGCTCAAGTTAACCCTCCCCACATTTTCCATTTCGATATACTCCATCGATTCGGCTGTTATGAACATTCGCTCCCTCCTGCTCACATAGCATCTGCTTTCTACCTTCGTCTTTCTTAAAACTCCCCATTTTGTTTCCATTACTTAAACATGGTGCAACAGACAAAAGTGGCTTTCAGCTTAATGTTATCATTGGCTACCACCTGTTTCGAAAAGACTGTCTGAGTGGACGCAGAGGCGGATGCGCTATCTAGATTCGGAATGATATAACAGTGCTCCCCGTCGATCAGCTGTCTCCTAATGACTTAGAAGATTCGTTATGGTTAGTAACCCCCTCCAGTAATCTGCTGGGTTGGATTTATAGATATCCTACAGCTACCAACCACCAAACTGAACAGTCAGTTGATACAATTAACGCTGATTCCGATACTTCCTACAAACATAAGTTCATATGTAGAGATTACAATTTACCACATATTGAATGGACGATCTCTTCATCAACAATGTCCGGGAGCCTTGTGGGAATATTCCATAGCGTTCAAATCGATGGTTGAACTCAACATGTTAAAAAACCACAAGAAGAGTCAACACATAGATTCCATATTCGCCATGGGAATTCCGTTAGTTTTGTAATTTCAATAAAGCAAGAAGAAACAACATTTTAACGGAATTTACTGAATTCAGTAATTTCGCGTATTCTCCTCAGCTGTTTACATACAATGAGTGGAAAACAGTGCGATGTTAACAGCAACAATTCAAAGCGGTCGAAGGTCTTTGGGCTCACGTGACCTGTTCCGAGGAAAACGCAATCGCTAGCCTCACCAGGGTAGGGCTAGCGTGGTCACGAAATCCGTTTGCTTGCATAGCTTTGGCTTCAGCCGCCGAATTGCTGCCGCCTCCGCAAACTGTAGTAAACGGGGATTAGCCTGTTTGCTAACTACCCTGAAATTGCCACGTGGGTTCTGGCATTCAGGGCAGTCTAGTATGTGGCGGGCAATAGAGCTAGTTGGTAGCTTCGTACCCTTAGCAATCATGTTTCGCGGAACATGCTCTGCAATCCTAGCTGACAGCCTTCTCTCACTTCGGCCTGCGAACTTGCTACCGCAAGTATAATTAAAGAGGTAAATGCAAGAGGCGGTAACTTGAGAGTCTGGTCTGTCCAGGTTGGATTTACAGAGCAGCCTTCTGACTTGATGCAATACCACTAGCTCAGCCGCATGGTAACACTTCTTAATCGATTGATGGAGGCGATGCCTGCATCTTCGGTCAACTTGATCTCCTTTGAAGGGCAGTGTAATGAATACTTTTTTCTTTGGGACATCGGTTGATGGTTTATCTCCGGATCGTACTTTCGCGTGCCGAGTTATAAATCGCGCTGGATACCCATTCCCTTGTAGCGTCAAGGTGACTCTTTCTAGTTCATGTTCGATTGTGTCTAATGAGCAAATTTGGCGAGCTCCCGCAAAAGTGGTACGTACTAGAGCTCGTTTATAGTTCATTGGGCAAAAGCTATTAAAGTTCAAGTGTTGCCCCGTCCATGTTGCTTTTCTGTACA